TGATATTTCTATCTTTTTATTGAATCTATTGGCCCTGCAAACATGCCCTTATGATGTCCAGTCAAGTCTTAGGTATGACTACAAAAAAGTCATTCATCCAACAGCAATATTTCCACATCTGGGTGACCACCAATATGTAATGTAGTCAATCTGATCACTTATTTGTGGGAAAGGACTTTTTATTATTTCTACAACATCACGACAATATCACAAGCAATATTCCGTCATCTTTGTTCAGATGAAAATGATTACTGGTAATATTCACTCACCAGAATGTGACAGAATGTGGGCCTTGAGTTTGTCTGGCCTGTTGAATTCTTTGGTGCAGCCCACATGTGTCCTGATGACAAAAAAACACACAAATTGCATTCAATGAAATGAAATAACCTGTAAGACAGTCCAACAGAAAAGCACAAATGAGGAGGACAAAGGAGAAGAAGGATAGACGTGAGAAAAGTTGAAAGTTGAAAAGGCTTGAATGAAGTAGGAACAAGGGAAGTTAAATAAGCTAACAGGTCTTGTTTCCACCGGAGAGACTCACCTAAACGGACACTTGTATTTCTTGAAGGGTTCATGGATGAGCATGTGTCGCTTCACTTTGTCCTTCCTGTTGAACGTCGCCTCACAGAGGGAGCATTTGTATGGCTTTTCACCTGGAAAACGGGATCAGCATCAAACTCTCAGCTTTACTTTCATTAACGACTTCTAAATGATGCGATTGACAATCGGGGGCGAATGTCACGGAAGTGTTTCCTCTGGCAAACTTCTTCCATTTGTACATCCTTCCAACGCATTCAAATGCTAACATTGTAGCCAGAGACACATCAGCTTGTTTAATCGGTAGTTTACTCAGGCCTTATTATTTTTATTAGTTTTATTGAGCACTTCCTTATTTTAACGATAGTTTATTCCTTCTGTCGCAGCTACATGTTCTGGTGTGACTGGAATAAAGTGCAGAACTGGGTTGTTAGACTAGAAATAAAGCTGCCTGAGGAAACTCAAACAAATCAGAATCAATAGAGAATATACAGCAAGGAGACAGCAAGACTATCAACACATCAGCCCTCGACTTAGCTACGGAACCCAGCACAGTGGACCCATGGCTTGGCATAAAGTCTTCATACAAATAATTGTCAGGGGGACAAAGAATGCTTTCTGAAAGTCTTTCAGACCTGAGTGAATGCGTGTGTGCAGTTTGAGGTAGTGCTCCGTCTTGAAGGCTTTCTTGCAGATCTGGCACTTGAACCTCCCTCCAATGCCGTGAGTGGGGAGGTGGCGTCTGAAGTACCTCTCGCACGGGAAAACCTGCCGGCCAGCAACAGAACGGATCAGACACCGCGCCGAGGTCTTACAATGTGACATGAAAAGGTAAAAGCCCGGAAGATATTAAGCACGGGACACTCGTACCTTTTGACAGTGGGGGCAGGGAAAGTTGTGCGAGGCAGTCAATAGATGCTGTTCCAGTGCTTCCTGGGTAGAATATCGGCTTTGGCACTTGACACACCTGAGGTGAAATGCAAGAATAAAAAAAAAAAGGGGGGGGGTTTGTTTGGGATAATAATGATGTACCAACCAACTTCAGGATGCCAGCGTTGGTCCTTCTATTCTGCTATAATTAATACGGAGTCAACACAACTGTGAGCGATCGAGCCGACCTGTAGATGCTGGTTTCCTTGCGTGTGCTCTGCTGCGGGCAGAAGCAGTGGGAGTACTGGTGGACTCCCAGTTCGAACAGCGAGGGGAACACCTTGCTGCAGAGGTGGCAGCGGTAGGTCAGCTGCTCCTGGTGCGTCCTGATGTGCTCCAGGAACTGATCCAACTTATGGAAGGTCTGGGAGCAGGACTTCAACACACACTTGTAAACCTGTGGGGTGAGTGACTGTGGTTAATAAATCTTGCCATGTAAGAAATAAAATCCCCAAAAAAAGGAGACAAAGAAGTAAGCAAACATATGGACTCTGCCCTCACCTGCTCCCCTTTGTGCTGAGTCAGGTGAGACTTGAGCTGGAAGTAGGTCTTAAACTTGCTGGCGCAGAACTGGCACTGGTAGGAGCTGTCTATTACAACTATTTGTTTGGTCTGAGCTTGGCACTGCTGGTCCTGGTTGGACTGCACCTGGATCTGTACCTGAGGATGCCCGTTCTGCGTGGCCTCCCCTCGGCCGCACTCCGGATCAGCCAGAGCCTCAGCCGCACTCTCCTCCAATTCCACCGGAGCTTCTGTAATCAGGCATTGTATCTCGCTGTAAGGGCTGCAGCTGTAAATCTGATGCTGGATCAGTAGCCGTCATTGCTTTTATAATTAGATCCAGCAATCACGTAGGACACGAAGGCAGCATTTACTGCGGGCTAATGTATAGTTTTAACAAGGTGTACCTAATAATCAGGCGGCTGAGTGTATTGTTCATCAGCATGTTACATATCATGAATATGGTAAACAGATATTATGTATATTACCTGTTTGAACTACCTCTTCCTCTGTTTGTGTTTGACAGTTCTGCTGCTGTGACCCATCCTCCTCCGGTTCACCTTGCTGCTGCTGCAGCTCCCCGCCCGCCTCCTCCTCATTGGACGACATTGGTACCACCTTTACTGTGATTGGTAATCTGGACACTGTGCTGGCCACACCCATAGGCCACACCTTTAAGATAAAGAGTTGTTGTTCTTACTGTGTTGGCACTATGCTGCGTTCACATCTCATGAAAATAATAATCAAAGGACATTCTTTACGATACGTTTTACCATCATGGTAATTAACTATTTTATGCTAAACCCTTCCCCCCCAGACGGTCATTGTCCAATCATAGCTTAGCAACCGAACGATTTTTCCACGTGTACATGGAGCATACGGAGAGTTTGAAGCGCGGTCTCTCTTTTTTCAGCTTTCAAAACCGAAAGCATAAAAGAAAAAAAACCAACACATTTTGTTTGTGACCTCTAACGTACGCTGTAAACGTTAGCATTTTAGGCTAACTAGCTTGCGATACAGAAGTAGCAATGCGTTACTTTCAAAGCAAGGGAGCCTTTCCTACTCTGTGTGTCACAGGTGACGTGGGTTACACACTTTTGAAAAAGAGGTATTACCACAAACTAATCAGAACCTTGTGTGTCTGCATGTGTTTCTTCACGTTGGACTTTTGGGCAAAAGCTCGGCCACAGACGATGCACTGAAATGGTTTCTCTCCTGTGTGACTGTAGAAAGAGAGAATGAGTTACTGGAAGGGAAAGGAGAACCTTTTTTTTTCTGGGTGAAAGTCTCTTTTTCAGATGGGTACGGTCTCATCATGCTGGCCAGTAACTCACCTTCTAATGTGCTGCTGAAGATCAAAGTTTTTCGAGAAGATTTTGTCGCAGAAATTACACTTCAGCTTTGGGACTTTTCCTTTCAACTGCTCTGCTGAGGAGTGAAATTGAGGGAATGAATATTGATCTTACGATCATCTTTATGTGGTCATGAACAGTTTCATTAATCAATCAATACTTTGATTTTAGTTTTTTTAAACTCATTTAACAATAGTAGTATGCATGAATGTGTTTTCCTTAGAGGTGGAAGCTGTGACAGTAGCAGTAGTAGTATTTATAATGTATTAGATCTAATCTAAATGTTTCAAATCATTTTCCTTCATGATGTTTTTTTGTTTTTGTAAAGAGTTTGTGAAAGCACAGAACATCATAAATGGTAAATAAATAAATAGTGTTCGGTCCAAAACTTCCTTTCAGAAAAGTCAAACTTGCGACTTTTATTTTTTCCCTTCACACACACCTGTGGCTCCATCCGAGCTTTTTTTGCTGCTCCTGGATCGTTTGGGGATGATGACCTTTTCGAAGTCGTCCAGCTCCGTCAGGTTGGTGGTGATGCTGCAGGTCTTTGTTTTGGCGCCCTGCTTCCCGGGGCTGTAGACGGGAGGGGTCGTGTATGGCTGGCTCTCCACGCACTGACTTGGCACCTGAGGGAGACGCAACGGACTCAGTGCTTCGTCTTCGAACCACAAAGTCTGGAATTAAGTGTCACAAAAAGTGTTCTACTCACTTGTACAGGATGAAAAGGCTGCAGACCCAATGTGTGGATCTCTGCGCCACCGCCCCCACCCATATGGGGCAGTGCGCTGTACACCTGGACCACTGAGTTGCTGTGGCTCGCTGGGACCTGCGAGGAGAGCGGCTGCTGGGCGGGCTGTCCAGCTGGCAGGGGGTGGGCCGGTGTTTGCCCGGAGGGCAGGGGGAGGGAGGAATGCTGTTGCTGCTGTTGTTGTTGTTGCTGCTGTTGCTGCTGCTGCTGTTGCTGTTGTTGTTGTTGTTGTTGTTGTTGTTGTTGTTGTTGTTGTTGTTGTTGTTGTTGTTGTTGCTGCTGCTGCTGTTGCTGTTGTTGTTGTTGTTGCTGTTGTTGCTGCTGTTGTTGTTGTTGCTGCTGCTGTTGTTGTTGCTGCTGCTGGTGATGGTGATGATGATGGTGATGGTGGTGGTGGTGATGCTGCAGGTATGATACACCAGCTGTGTGCATGCTCAGGTTACTCTGCAATACAGCAAGGGAAGCACATAGATTAGATAATAGTGCAGCAAAAAATATACGTACATATTCTATGTACAGTATATTGTACAAAATTGACATTTTCAGCTGCCAGGAATTTGCTCTGGATCGCCTCACACATTTGGTCATTTTGGCGGCTTCAAATCTAACGTGTAATGTTGCGGCGTATTACCTGTACAGGCGTCTGCATGGGGGCCATAGGCTGGTCGACGGAGGTGAAGGCTGAGATAGCCGACATGAGGACATCGTCGCTGACCAGCACGTTGCCCTGGACCAGAGTGTGTGTCAGAGGGGAGGGGGGTACCGTGATGTAGGTGGATACCTGATGTGTAAGCGGGGGAGTGTTACGCAAACAGGAGAGTAATAGGAACACACACAAGTGAGAAAGCATGCATGTTGGTGTAGAAATGTATGGTTCTCTTACCCACTTTGCTAAATACTGTCATCTCAGTGGGGAATGATAAATGTGTGCCGTAGTCTCAGAAAGCACAATTAATGTTACTGTATGGTTTTATCTTAACATGTGCCGAGTAATTCTTTTTTTTCTTCTAATAGTCCTGCTCTCACTGCTTTTACGTACATTCAAACATATTTCTAAGATGCCTTTATTCTTCCTCCTTTGTCTCCACATATGCATTAATTTATGACAGGTTACTGCAAGTTCACAGTTAAACTAACAACATATGACTTTACCTACTAAACTGATTCCCCATTCAGTGGCTCAAACTCACTTTTATCAATCACCCACATTAAAACACCCTAACTACCCTCACCTGTCTGTTGGCCGGGGTCTGTGGTCCAGAGCTGATTGAGGGGACCGGTGTGTAGGCATTGGTGGAGGCCAAGGACACTGTGGACAGGGAGGGGACGCTGGACTGGCACTGCTCCCTCTTGTGCATCATGAAGGCCGGCAGAGAATTGAACTGTTTCTTACACTTCCCACACAGGAACACGTCCTCGTCGTCTGTATGGAGGACAAACATGAGAACGTTTGAGGTATGCCGAGGCGATAATCTCCAGCATGTCATTATCTTGATCAGAAAAAAAAAGCCTCAATGATTACTGCATCATGAAAGCGGGGCAGTGTAGAAACAACACAGCCAGGATCACTCTCTAATCTTGCCGCTCATCCGGGACCAGTTTGCCTTGTGAGACCCGTACCAGGACCTGATACCCTCCAACTGCAGCACAGCTCCCATGGTCACACGGGAGACACAAACCCTTCCGCCACAATGAAGCTCAATTATGAAGGGATTGTTCTATACAGTCATAGCAAAACAGCTGTGCATATTTTAAAAATATGTGACACAAACACAAGTTGCAATGCCATAACATCAGGGAGATAAAGGTAAGCGCTGTAAGTGAACAAGTATTAATTGCTGCATGTGACTAGCCGAGTAAATAAATTAATCCAAATATAAGTGCATAAAAAAAAAAAAAAAACTTTTGTTTTTTTTATTCTTCATTCTGTAGTTGATTGTTTGGTTTGAACTCAGCTGTCATTTGCTGTATCTGCTGTACATACCCATAGACTGTATGGTGGACGTCCCGGAGACATTCTGATTGTTCGGGTCAGGAACTCCAACTTGGCCGTCCAGCAGAGACTGGACCGCCAACACGGTCTGGTTGTCCATGCCTGAGGAGGAAGAAGAGGAGGGTGGAGATTCTAGGCACGTATAATGCTTGTATGTTTCACTAAAACTATGAAAATATGAAGATGGAAGGGAAGACTTGCTTCTTGTTAATGTACATTTTTCAACAGGAAGCATCTCTTCGCTCACAGTCTGGTTGACCTTCCGATGTAACATGAAAGAATAGTGCATGTTTTAAGTCAAGATGACCATCTTTGTATCGTGTTTCCTCCAACTACTTCAGCTCTACTTATGCTGTATTGACCTTATGATGTATTTAGGGAAACAAATCTATACAAATCTAATTATAATAATAAATACTTCAGGAAACTAATATGGGTCGCTGTAAATTCATTATCGACTAATACAGACACAGTATTAGCCCTTATAGAAGGCCTACTATAGCAACAATACAGTGTTGTCATCAAAAGGGCCTCCTGCTAAAATGTCAAATATGCAGTCTGAATAGCAAGAGGGGAACACATCATTGTATGGCCTGGCTGCAGTATAATTAAAACGACTCACAGTCGTAGGTTGTCCTTAAGGTCTGAGCAACAATCAATCTGTGTGTTTGTTTACAGTCAGTCACTCCCCCCTCTGGTATGTTTTCATTGTTATAACTAAACTAGGCGCATTCATGTCGTTTTAAAGTTACTTGTATTCACATCGAAACGGTCCTGGTGTATTGGCCTTGTTTAAAACTCACTCGCGTTTCATTCTAGCTGTAATTACGTGGTTACTAACAAATTATGCCTACCTTCAAGCACTTCAAATATTGCTTGCGCCATCTTGCAGCTCCTCTTTCTGCGCGATAGGCGCTCGACTAGCAGGGGCTGCCTGTTGAGATGCGCCCCCTCGATCACAGGAAACACTCAGACGAAGTATTTGGAGGCAAACGTTTTCCTAATAAATGTCAGCAAAGGACAGACGGGGGTTTAGCAAATACTTACCGACAGGAGGAAGAGCATGTTTGTTTGTCAGAGGCCATCAAGACATCACGGTTAAGGTTTATGCGTCACTCCAAATAACATTTTCTCACGTGTCACTTAGTTAAATAGGGTGCGACACACTTGAGTTTTGAGTAATGTCAGTCACAATAGTTTTAATGAGAAACATTTTACGCTTACGTGTTAGCAATTAAGATAAGACAACAAAACTAACGTGACGTTTTTTTTTGTGGGACTTGAATGCATCTTCGTATCGATGAATCTCCGCTCGATAAAATGACAGACAACAGTTTCCACCAATCAGAGACCGTCTGTCCTGCCCCATGGAAAGTGCTGCTTTTCGACCAATGGTAACCGTCGCATTGAAGCACGTGCCGATTTCGCGGCAAAAAGATTTCGCGCGAAAACTGTCCGAGTCTTGTTTAGATGTAGATCAGCTGGGACAATAACAACAATAACAGCCGTTAACGGGGTCGGAACGGCGCTTTTATAAATGGACCGCGCCCGGTGTGAGCAACCGACGGACTGGCGGCTGCTGTTTTAAAGAAACGCTTTTATTTCACCGGTTTATTCCTTACATTTCCAGTTTTGTCCGACTGCTTCCTGCGTGCCCCAACAAAACGAGGGGGATAAAGAATTTCGGCTAGTAACTCAGCTAGCATGCTAATCCGCCCTATATTTTCATATGTAACGATATCGCGTTATACTCCGCTGAGCTAACTGTCGCTTCATCACGTGTACTCCCAAAAATGCGTTTGGACTTGTGGTGATGTGGTTTGCGTCGCAGATATTTTATTTCGATAGCTCACTTCTGGAGTGCTGCTATAAAGTTTTAATAGCCATTTAACAGACTCCCGTCTGAGGTGTAAGGATACATTATGTTTTGTTGACTTAAATAGCTAGTTTGTGGGCTGCACTTGGTTGTTTGTGAACTTGTGTCGGTCTTTGTTGTGAGGACACGAGCTAGCTGTGTTAGCAGGGCTGGTCGTTGTGTTAAGGGCAGTGTGGCCAGGCCTCGCGGCTCTACTGTCACGTTACTGACAGGAGAGATGAAAACAAAAGACTAGCTTGCTAGCTCGCTAACCCGCAGCGTTTACAGCAGCCACGGCCGAATTCGCGACTCTTTCTTTGCTAACATATCAGCGGCTGAGCCCCGAGGCTTCGAGCTGGAATGTTTTGGTGTTTAGCAATAGTCTTTTATTGGCCAAATTTCCTGTTTGGCAGAACATCCTGTGCTGCCGTTTCACCACCAGCCCAATATTGTTTTTTCAGCAGTTAGCTTACAATAGGTTATCATTTACGTTTAAGTGATATTGTTGTTTATAATGCATTTGTAGCTTTTTTTAAAATTTATTTTATAAGCAATAAGATGTACAATAGGGAAGGGGTAACTTTTTAAAGACATGTCCAAGCTGCCTGTAAACGCCTGCAAACAAACTTTCAAACGGTTTCATCATTGTTCCTTAAATTCACGGACTACAGCAAATCCAAGTGGGTGTTGATACTCAAACTTGCAGCACCTCAGCTCGCCCCTGAAGTCCAGTGAAGAGGGTTACCCCGGGGACACACCGCAATGTCAGAGACTCTGATAACAGGGCAGACATCGGAGGATCTGTTGGCTGACTTTGAGACTCTGCTGAACTCTGGGGGCATCGACCTGAGCGAGAACCACCAGATAGTGATCATCACCAGCCCCAGCAATGAGGGACTCAACCCGGCCGTCGCCCCCACCAGCACGGGGGAGATCCTGCTGTTCGCCACGCCGCAGGGCCCTGTCGACGTGGGGACCCAGGACAAGAGACGACCAGCTCTGGGAAGACCTCCGGTAAGGTTGGGGGGGGGGAGAGAAGACGAGGAGATGTGCTTAAATATATTATGTTGAGTTGTTTCCGCGAACGTGCTTCTACACACATGACAAAGCTGTGTAAGTCCATCCACCCGTTGCTCCAAGACACTGCTTTTCGTTCAGCAGTGGCTTTCATTTATTCAGTAGTTTTCACTTCCATCTTCTCAATTCATAGTAATTACATCATCGTTACACCCATTTGTATCTCTTCAGGTAAAGAGGAAGTTGGACCTGGACAGTGACCATCAGTACGTCAGCACAACTCGACCGTCCATAGGCCAAGCACCACCCTCCACACCTGCTCCTCCCAGAGGTACACACACACACACACTCACACACTTTCAGCTTGATCCACTGATTTTTCAGAAGCAATACGTGAGCACTACATCCATATAACTCTATTCAAATCCTATAATAGAGTTAATTCCTTGGACGTTTAGTGTGAAAAGCTTTAAAAAAGTAGCACACAAACATTTCTCCAAGTTGTGGCTGAAAGCAGAATTTTTTTTTTAACCCACATGTGCGCCCTTTCTTTCCAGTTCCTCGAACCACGACGGAGAAGTCCCGCTACGACACCTCCTTGAACCTGACCACCAAGCGCTTTCTGAACCTGTTGTCCCAGTCGGCTGACGGCGTGGTGGATCTGAACTGGGCCTCGCAGGTCTTGGACGTCCAGAAGAGACGCATCTACGACATCACCAATGTCCTGGAGGGAATTCAGCTCATCTCCAAGAAGTCCAAGAACAACATCCAATGGCTGTGAGTGTGAATAGAGAATACATTCCACAACATGAAATTGGTGTTTGAAACATAGACAATTGAAACACTACAAGCTCGAATACAAGCACATAAAAAAGTGGCTGGTATGTTGTGTTTGTGGTCCATAAACATCTTCTTTTTTTCCCCTCTTAATATTTACATGCCGTCTTCCCCTGCAGTGGTAATCGCGTTGATGCGGCGTTGGTTTCCCGCCATAAGGAGTTGCAAAGAGAGGTGTGTGACCTCACAGACGCTGAGGAGCAGCTGGACGAGCTCATTTCCAAATGCAACCTACAGCTCCGACTGCTCACAGAGGACCCGCCGAACAAGAAATATCCTTTCAACCACTTTAAGTGACTATTTCAATTTAGCCAGCGAAGCGTTTTATTTATTTTTTTTAAGACCGTGTTGCAGTCTTGGAATGCCCCCCACATGCTGCTGTGTTGTATTCCTTCACTGTTGTGTTCGTCACGCTGGGCTACGTGCGCTGCCAGGACTTGAAGAAGTCCTTCGATTCCCCGGACCAGCTGGTCATGGTGATCAGAGCGCCACCAGAGACCCAGATGCAAGTTTCAGAACCCAGCAAGGTAACGAGCCTTGGAATGTTTAAAGGGCCTCAGGATTTCTGCGAATGCGAAAAACGAGGGACGGAATCTCGGATTTTGAAATCCAAAATGCGGATGCAATTTGAGGGAGTTGGTCATCCAAAAAACAGAGGAATTCGACAATAATGGCTAAATTTAATTCCATTTATTTTGTAATTTAGAGCACTTTATTCTACACTGTCTTTTATTAAAACAGTGCAATGTTGAGTTACATCAAATTCATTGATTATCATTAAATGTTAAGTTAGTGAAAACGTCTTCTCTTCGTCTCTCAGGGTTACCAGGTGTCGCTGAAGAGCACACGTGGTGCGATTGACGTCTTCCTCTGTCCAGAGGACAGCTCCGGCGTCTGCAGCCCCGTGACAGGAAGCAGTCCCTCCAGTCCCGATGCCGACCCATCCCTGGTCCCGCCTCCCACACAACCCACGGACCAGTCGCAAGCCAGAACCTCTGCAGCGGAGCTAGACGAGGGTTCGTCGTCGCCAGCGTCCATGTCCTCCACCGTGACGGCAGCCTCCCGGCAGGACCCCTCATCACTGGTGTTAGGTGGCGACGCAGGTGAGTGTTCACGTTTCTCAGTAAATAAATGTACATTTATTGAATTTCCTCAATTACAATTAAAAAGTATCAATATACGCCACTCAAGTCACTCTGCTGCTTACTACCCTGAAAAGGTGTTGAGAGTTGAGAATCTACCACAAGATTGGCGGTTCGATCCCCGGCTCCTACTGTCTGCATGTCCCCTTGATCGAGGTGCTTAACCTCAACTTGTTCCCAGGGTGCAGCAAACTACTGCTCCTAAAATGCATGTATGTACAGTACATGAAGACTCTTAATAAAGTTTACATTCCATAGTCCATCCAACCCCAGTTGGGTACAGGTGCAGGCCAAAATAAAAACGTTTTAAGCGAGAGCACACAGTGTTGGTCATGTACAGTTGGTGGTTAAACATTTGGGATGAAGCATCGCGCTGTGGAGAGTGTGTTCCACTTAAGAAGTGGAAGCTAGTTAGCCTAGCATGCTAACCCCAGCGCTGATTCCTACGCTACATTATTTTGCGTTTATTTCAACTCCTGTTGAGTTGTGTGCAGCTCCTGCACGCTCGGCGTTTTCATGGGTTTAGTTGTTTTTGATTTTCAAAACCAAGTTCAGCAACAGGTTGCCCGGTCACCTCCCCGCTTCTTATGTCGCCAAGCGATTCACGTCACAAAAAGTACGTCTGACGTAACGAAGAGTGTGCTGAAGCCACAGAGCAATAAAGCTTCAGGCATTACTATTATTGTGAACAATGGTTGTGCTTTATTTGAGTTTCTCAGGAACGCCATGCCAATGAGTGTGCATGCACAAGACGGTACCTGAAAACTGCCTCACCTGAATGGCATGCAGCCATTGTTTACGTTCTCAACACGTTCATGCACGTTCTGTGTGTTAATTGGCGGATTAGTTATTGATCAAACAAACGTGGACTGTGCTTCCAGTGTTTATTTTTTTGACATTCCACTTTCCGCAACAGAATCGCTGCTGGGAGGGGACCCGTTCTCCGGCCTCGGAGACATGCCCGATTTCGACCTCTCGCCCCTCTCCTCCTCGGACTTCCTGAATGCAGATGGCATTCCTCTCCCACTGGACGGTTTCATCAACCTGTCCCCCCCTCACAGTCACGACTACCACTTTGGACTGGAGGACCACGAGGGCATCAGTGAACTGTTTGACTGTGACTTTGGCGACCTATCGCAGGTTTTGGGGGACGGTTAGATGCGGGAGGAGAGGAGGAGCACGTGGGCCTCTAGATTTAGGACTCATCCCCAGCTCCCTGGGCCTTCCAGAAGAGGGCTGGACATCGACATTTTAACGGCAAATATCTGTCGAAAGTCCAAACTTAATGTTTTAATTGTGCGGTTGTGGGGGGGGAAATGATTTGTGTGTCAATTGCCTGTCATCCTCAAAATTCCAAAATCTGTTCCCCAAATTGTACAGCACATTATCACCAGTTATCTTTGGCCGTTTAAACTCTTGGCAAAGACTTTAGCTTTAGCATAGCTATTTAAATTATTTATATGAATGTTATTTTGATAACTTTGTACGTGCGTTGTTTTGTTTTTTTGTCGTTTGTTATTGATAATCTTTAATCCAGGTGGACTGTGCAGGTGTTTGGACTCATAGGGCTGGTTTCCTTAACACAGATTAGCCTACATCCGATCCATGCGGCTGGTTTTTGTGACGTCTCGGTCTGAACAGGAAAGGTTCGCATCCCGCTGCCGAAGCTGGTTCTGTGAAACCAGCATTTTGAGACGGGGAAGTTTCAGGGGGGGGGGGGGGCTGTTTCAAAAGCGTCTTGTAGCTGTGCTGCAGTTTCACTCTCTCAATACGTTCC